TTCTCACAGCTATGAGATGTGTCATTTTGGACATTTTAGTCATGTGGCACCATTAGGCTTCATTCTCTCACCCTGAAATGGGAATAAGGGAGCGACTCTCAGCCGCTCCCTTATTCATGAGGGTTGCCACAGCGGGAAGCTCCGGATGTTTTATAAGGCAGAATTTTTATAGTGAATACTTTTCCCCAAAGGGATTCGTGTCTCCTCCTGGGAGCAAACCGGAGACCTTTCGCTTGCTTCTTAAGCAGATGTGTAAACCACAACACACGGACATCTGCCGAACTCCTAGTGGTTTAAAATGAGTCCTCCTAAGATATTACCAAGGCTTTGTTTCTTTAAACTTAGGTCTGTGAGAACCGGTATCCCAGCTCATATTACATTGCTTGTCTATTTCATCATCCTTTGCTTTACACCTTATAGTCATATTTGCTGTTTGGAAATTTCTTCTTCTTCTATTTTTCTTTTATCTGAAACGATAATCGAGCAAGAAAAAAGTTATCCTGCACCAACACTTTGAGATTATGAGGGTCATCTACTCATTATTTTATGTTTCAAGGTTTCTGCGTATTCACATAAACATGCTAATGCGTAGTTTTGGTGTGCGCCTTTGATATATGAGGTGTGATCCAAAAGTTCTGGGAACAGGCCCATAAAATTTTAACCTTACCTGTTTAAATCTGGACAGTGTCATGTTCAAAGTCGTCTCTTCAGCACGCTGAGCTGTTTGTAGATCGCTTGGTCGAATTTAAAACACGGGAGAGGACAACAACACAATCTTGAGTCACCGTGAGCTCCTCCACCACTTCGATTGAGGTCGTCCACTTTGCGATAATTAAATTCAAGCTTCAACACAAGGGGACACGATGGGATTTCACAGAAGGATCTAAAATAAAAAACAAAGTCTTGAGCTGCACAAGAAGATAAAGTTGAATATTAGGTTGGCCACATTAAGGTTAGGAGGAGCTTTCTGATTAGATCTCGTCTTATTACAGTCATCAGTTTGCCTCTTCGTGTTGCACTGATCACTTCTTTAGCCATTATGTGCGTTTCGAGGACTGCAGACCTCCTAAATGATGTTAAATTCATTATTCCACCCTAATGCTGTTGGCTCATGTTTCTTTATTCCAGGGAGGTGAAGGTGACAGAGGTGAAGCCGAAGGAGGCGCAGCTGTCTGTGGAGCGCGTTCCTGGGACTCTGTCCACTGCAAGCAAATCGGTGCAAGTCAACGGTGCTGCCACAGTCAGTATTGATTCCTCCTTTTTGTTTTTTTTTTTCTGCTCAGCGGCCCTTTTTAATATTTGCTGCCTCTCAGACACCTCAGTCACCATTAAATCAATCTCATCACCAAGAAAAGAAGGCGAATTAATTGCACCTTAATTCTGCGCAGTCTCGTATTGATTTTGATCGCAGACAACTCGATTTTTAGAGGAAAAAGCTGTGCATTTTTAAAACAGACACATGTAGCAGCCAAGAAAGCTTTACTCGTAACAAGCCAAAGGCAAATTTCCTCT